ACGATCTCACTATCGATCTCACTACCGATCTCACTACCGATCTCGATATCGATCCCACTATCGTTCTAACTGTCGATCACACTGTTCATATCACCATCGATCTCACAAACGATCTCTCGAACGATACAACGATCGATCTCACGATCGCTCTCACTATCGATGGCATCATCGATGCCACTATCGATTTCACTATCGATGCCACTATTAACCTCCCATCGGTAACACGATCAATATCACTCAATCGATATCACCATCTATACCACTACCGAGCACACGATCGATATCTCGATCGATTTAACTATCGATCCCACTCAATCGATATCACTATCCATCTCACGATCGATATCACGATCGATCCTGGTATCGATCTCACTGCCAATCTCACTCAATCGACCTTTCTAGCAGTCTCACTATCGGCTTCACTTTCGATCTCACGATCGGTCTCACTTTCGATGCCATTCAATGGATTTCAGTATCGATTGCACTATCCATCTCACTATCGCTAGCATGACATTGCATAGCATCTAAAATGGCACGGGACACCCGCGCGCCACGGGACACCACGGGACAATCGAGACACTTTCGGGACACCAACGGGACACCATCGGGACACCTCAGGGCCACTGATGGCCAACCCGGGGGGCAGCAACGTTTGGTTCGGCTTGGCCCCAGCAACAGCGAGTTCAGTCCTCTCGCCCGCCCACGCAGCTTTGCCTCGCCCGCACGCGCGACACGAACGTGAGTTTGAAACCAGTATCCCAATGGGGGGGGTCCCCGTTTCACTGCGATCTCACCCCCCAATCTCCGATATGTATACAGAGGGGGTGAGAGAGAGAGGGAGAGACACAAAAGAGAGAGAACCAACCAACTGTGGTACATCAATCATTGGCGAGGCGGGGTAGACAGAGAGAGATATTGATAAAGAGAACGTGCGTGTAGGTACGTATATGCATGTAAGAATATATATATATATATATATATATGTTCGTGTGCACCAGAAGATACCGGGATCCATACATCTATGTATATCTACAGATCGAGAGGGAGAGAGCGCGCGAGAGAGAAGCAAGCCATAGAGAGATAGTTAGAAAAAGAGAAATCGAGAAGAACATGTAATAGCTAAACTGGACTGAAACGTAAGTTTGAATTCGACTAGGGCGGGCGGAAGGCCGATTGAGGCACCTGCGAAAGATTCTAAAATCCACTGATTGGGGCTTCCTCTGGTGTAACTACGTGAGACTAAAATTGGGTGTGATGCCTGTTGCGTTGTTCCTCCTCCTCCTCCTTATCCTCCTCCTCCGCCTCCTTATCCTCCTCCTCCTCCCCTCCTCCCCTCTTGAGCTCATCTTGAAGCCATCTTGGGCCATCTTCAGGCCGTCTAGTGGTCTTCGGTCCATCCCGCCACCGTCCCTGGATTGTGGGTCGCAAGCCTTTTTGATGCTCGTCGGTATCTCGTGGGGTGCTTCTCGGGGCCTCTGGGAGGCAGTTTGGAAGTCTCTCGGGGGCCTTTTTGAAGCCTATTGGAGGCATCGTTTGGGCTTAATGGGGCCCTCTGGGGGGTCCTGAGGGCCTCTTGCAAACCTCGTGGTGCCTCTTGGGGGCCTCTCGGGGCCTCCTGGGCGCCTTTTGGACCGGAAAGCCAGGATTTTCGGTTGGCGGTTCCGCTCTTGACCCTTCTTCGGGCCGTCTTGGACCCCTCTTGGGGCCCTCTTGAGGCCGTCTTGGGGCCGTCCTGGGGCCTTCTGGGGAGACTCGTGAGCCATATGGGAGCGACTTGGGAATTCTTGTGGGTTGTGTTGGGAGTACTGAGGCCGAAAAAAATAATAGGCAAACAATTCAGTTGGTTTCCAGAAAAGGAATGAGGCGATTTTTGCTTGTCGGGGTACTCTTGGGAGTCCTCTGGGATGGCCCTGGAGCCGCCTTGGAGGCCTCTTGGGCCGCTTGGAACGCTTCGTGAGCTGTTTCAGACACCCCGAGGTCGTCTTGAGGTTGACTCAAAGCAGTCCAGGGCCGACTGAACGGCTGCCCGACCCCTCTCGGAGGCGAGCTCGGGCTCGCCAAAGGCGCACACATTTGAGGTAGAGGTCCTGGCCCTGGGGCCCCTGGCCCGGTAGCCCGCTATGTGTGTGTGTATATATATACATATATATATATATATATATATAGATGTGTGTTTGCATCCACCGCCCCTGGCCATGCCCATCCTGGGCCCTGGAGCGGTGCATGCGCGCTCCTGCCCTGGCCAGGAGGTATAGACACCGCTCCTGGACCCAGGCTGGGCCTGGCCAGGGGGTGGAAAGGTGTGCCATGGACCTCGCCGCACGAGGCGTGCCGGGTGCGGGCCGCGGAGCTCGAACCGAAGGCCGCCCGCCTGGCAGAGAATCCGGGGGGATCGCCTGCACGTGTTCCGTCGCGCGCTGTGGGGCGCAGGGGGCGCCGAGCGCGGGGTCGGCCAGCCCCGTGTTGAGCACTCGATCGTGCGGAGGAGGGAGCGGCGAGCCTCTCACGGTCGACGAGCAGAAGGCTGCGTGGAGCAAAACTGTCGGGGGTCCACGCAGACTCTTTGGATCGGCGCTGGGACCCCCTGGCGGCCCTCAAGCGCCAACCCTGGCGCGCTCCGCGCACCACGGAAGGCAAGTTCACGTTTACGCCTTTCCTCTTCGTCAGGATAGGGGAGGAGGCGCAGCATGAGGACAAGTGCACGCGGCAGGACGCCGTTGTGATTACAACCAGCGCTTGATGTCCAAAGTTCTTGCCCCTAACAACGAACACCTCGAGGGCTCGCTCGGCTTCAGGCTGCGGGGCCCTGCGCTGAGCGAGGGGAAACCAGCGCGTGAATCTACACCTCGGACGTTTCGGACGGCGGATCAGGGCGAGCATGATATCAAGGTAAGATTGGCTCAGGATGCGGTCCAGGATTTCCAGAGTACCTAACGGCGCAGCTGGTGCCGAACATTCCAAAATGCAGGAAATCCTCGGAAGCTGGGAAATCTTGGAACGTATCGTTATCATGACCTCTTGGTCCTCTGGCATATTTCTGCCACTGCTGCACCCCTCCCCCACGCGAGAAGCACGCCGGGGGCGTTGCCAAAGGTGCAGCCCAGGGGTGGGCCCAGACCTCCGACGCCTTGACTTTTTCAGTGTACAGGCCCCACGGACACACACACACACACAAAGAAATCGACACTAACACTGGGGTTCCCCATACTGTCCATATTTCCTGGATGTTCGTCTTCCCCTCCACGCCCCTGGCTTTCCATGACTCCTCGGAATCGACGATTGCTAGTGTCTGTGGTTTTTCCTCCTGATGCGTTTTCGCCTCGTGTCGAGTTCTGACCCAGGCGGCGAAGACCGTGCACAGACAGACCCGCCTTGCGTTTTGTTCCGGGCCCACCAGGCGCATGGGGCGGCCGCGGTGCGGCCACGGGCGGCAGCGTGCGAGACCTCGCCAGTCCGGCCGACCCCACGCAGGAGGCGGCCACGAAGCGGCAACGGGCGGCAACGTTGCGAAGCCTCGCCGAACCCACCGAGCGCACGAGGCGGCCACGAGGCGGCCACGAGGCACCAAGATGAAAGATCACCGCCAGATCAATCCGATTCCTGAGGGGCAGAAGCGAGAACCCCTCGGTGAAAGCACTGTCCGGGGGGGAAAAATCCGCATTGGCTCTTGATGACGCTGGACCTCTGAGCGGGCAGGGCGTTGCTGGAAACCTGCCGCGTCCGCAGGCGCTCAAGCCCGGTGCCCATGATACACCCCTGCTCAGAGTTAAGAGAGATGTAGGTTAAGAAAATTAACTTCACTCGACGCGTTATCTGGACCAGTAGTCCAGGTTCAGGTCTAGTAACATTCTGCGAGGAATGAGCGCTCCAAGCAACCGCACAGGGTCCAGTCCAGATTTCAGATGTTCTGGGGCGACAGCGGAAGTCCACAACAGTTGTACGCTCTTTCTCTCCCGATGTCTCGTCGGTGCAAGCCAGGGGGGGCCGTCCCCCGAGGCCCGCACCGAGAACGCGAAGGGCAGCATAGCCCCCACGAGGAGCCCCATGATGCACCAGGCGTCCAGCAGGTCCAGGTGCTTCACGTTGACCTGGCCGATGCCAGGAAGCTCAGGAGGGGAGGAAGCTTACGCTCACCTGGCCGACGCCAGGAGGCTCTGGATCCAAACACGCTCCTCGCTTGTCCTTCCGCCGAACTTCCGCCAGCGGAGCCTCGGCCGCCGATTCCCGCCGAGGGCGGGGCGCGCCGATGGCGAGGCATTCTCTGGACTGCCGCATGTGGTGGGCGGGAGCAGGAGAGGCGGACGAGGAGGCGAGGGAGCAGGAGGCCCACGGGGGCCCGTGGAGATCCGAGATGGTCGTCGGCAAACTTGGAAGCATCAGCGCCTCGTCCCCTCCCGTGCCTCCGCCTGCCTCGGCTCCCTCCCTCTCTGCGCTGTCTGTTCCTGCTCCGAGAACGAACTAGTGCCAGCCACCTCTGCAGCACCGCGCAGCGCAGTCTGTTAGTCAGGGGCCTTCTGTGGCATGCCTCATCTGCACTTGTTGCTGCCATTTGCCTGGTCCCCTGCTGTGGCTCTTGGCCGGCGAAGCAAGTCCAATCTGGACCAAACCATCGAGCACGCACGCAGCGGGGCCGCGCGTCGCATCAACAAGACACACCGCGTCGACACCACCCACTCCGGCCTACTCGTAAGACGAAACCACGACGAGAATTACATGGGGTGGGGATGAATCGAGAACCTCTGGAATCTGGCGGTTCTGGAAGACGTCTGGGGCGCAGCGGCATTCTTAGAGCGTTCCAGAACGCTCTTGGAGCGTTCTGGAACGCTCCGGGAGCTTTGCGGAACGCTCTGGAGCAGGATGTGTCCTCGTCCCAGCCCCGCCCGAACTCGCCCGAGCCTTCCTGGCCGCACCGTCGGGCCGGCGGGGACGGTGTGCCAGTCAGGCGCCCAACGTGGAGGGAGGGCGGGCGGCGCCGCCCTCGCTCTGCCGCGAACGTCGGGCTACACGCCTCCTTGCGCTGACCGCCCATCCTCCCCTCCCCTCCCCATCTCTCCTCCGCGCTGCTGTCTCAGGCGGCATGGGAGGAGGTGGAGCGGGCCAGGTGGAGGGAAAGGAGCAGGAGCAGGAGGAGGACGGGGATGAGGAGCACGTGAAGGATGAACGGGAGGGACATGAGGGCGACGATAACGGAGGAGAGAGGGAGGAGACATGAGGAGGAGGGCGTGGGGACGAGAGGAGGAGGGAGGAGACGAAACGAGAGGGAGAGAGAGAGAGAGAGAGAGAGGAGAGAGGAGGGAGGAGACGAAACGAGAGGGAGAGAGAGGAGAGAGGAGAGAGGAGGGAGGAGACGAAACATGAGGAGAAGGGAGAGAGGAGGGAGGAGACGAAACGAGGGGGAGGAAGGCGGGGGGCAGAGGAGGACGAGGCCGTTCTCCCAGCCCCCGCGGCGCCTGCTCGCAGAACGCGCCGAACAGGGCCAGCGACACCAGGGCCGCGGAGCCGATCGCGAAGCCCTTTCCGACCGCCGCAGTGGTGTTCCTTGGGGGCGGGCGGCGTGCTCAACTCAAGACGGGCCCCCAAACGGCCCACGAGGGCCTCGAGACATCCCAGCAAAAGGTCAATCCTCCTACAGACAGTCTGGTCAGTCGTTACGATTTGAGAATCCAGCCCGAAGACTCACATCGCACGAAGGCACCAGACTGTTGGCCGAAGGTTCTTGGACGGATCATGTGCGAATTCGTTGGGTTTGGGACGGGTCCGAACGGTGGGAAAGTCACGTGTTTCGGACGGATCCTGTCTGACCACTGCACCCTTGTATATTATGAATTAAGCGCAGCCGTGGACTCCGAGGATCGGGTCGGGCGAAAGAGGGGGATAGCAAAGGGGGGGTTTGAGAATCAGCTCATGTGGCTGATTTTCCCTGCGCCTCCCTGCGCCGGAAGCGGCCATGTATCGAGGAATGGGCCCCTCGGTGGGGCCGAAACCAGCTGCATGCAGCAAATTCCGTAACCCCTCCCCCTTTCCCAATCCCCCCTTTTCGTCCTGCCCGAGAGGACGACTTGCCCAGGGCACGGGGCTGAGCGCCTTCTAGAACTTTACTGAGCTGCTCCCGGAATTTTACCGAGCTGCTCCTCTGTGCTCCCGCGCTCGACCTCGCCGTCGCCGGCGTCGTCGTCGTCGGCGTCGCCGCCGCAACCGCCGTCGCCGACGCCGCCGTCGTCTGGGCACCTGGGCGCGCTCACGCCCGTGCGCCGTCTGGAGGTCAGTCGCGCGTCCGGTCCAAGCAGGTAGCATCCACTCTGCCCGACTGTCTGGACGTGACGGGGCACGTGCTATCAAGATGAGCCATGTACCAAAAGATCTGAACAAGCTGCACTACGCGGATCGTTGCTCCCCTCTTGTTCCTCCTAGGGTGATTTAGCCAAGTCCTTTCCGACGAGAGCCAGACTGCTACGTATCCCTAGCATCCTCGCGTCGTGAAAAACAAAACTGACCATGCAAGTTACTAGCAACATTCAGCCTTCGGGGACGCCTCCCGGCCCCGGAGACAATGAAGAAACAACTCAGGAAAACAAGAACACGTCCCAAGGACGAGGCCCAGACCTCTCGGGAGCCACGTGGTGAAAAAATCATGACGCCTGATGTCTCGGACCCGACTCAAGCAGGCGGACGGTGCTTGGCGACGCAAGGAAAGCCATCGAGACGCCAGGGACGTCAAACCCCGCAGAAGCGAACCCCATGTGACAAGTTCTGCAAACTTTGAACGCAAACGTAACGTTGCACCTCTTGGGTAACACATCATTGATATTCGCCAGCCTCCGACGGCCTTCAGCCCTCGGAGCCACTCTCGTTCTACGCTCGCCATCCGCCGAGGAAGAGATGGAAGCTTTTCGATCCCCCGAAAACAAGGCTCTAAAAGCCGAACATGCATTCCTCTGATCGGTTGGCCCTCGGCTCCCAGCAGCGTCAAGAGCATCCGTGCGCTCTCGCACCTCCGCGGGCAGATTCGCCATCTCGGCAAGGCCCCCCGCGTTGTCGCAGATGGGGCCGAAGCCGTCGATCGTTAGACCTCCCACGGCGGTGGAACGGTAGTCAGGGGGGGGACCAGCTGAGGGGGGGGACAAATCGAAATGAACTCGGCAATACAACCTCGCCGATTGATTGGAAAAACCAGACAGCTCGCCCCTCGGCCCCCCGCCAACCCCACGCCAACGGGCGAGCAGATATACGGGCGCAGCACCACGCTGCATGCGCAGCCTTCGGCTGGGCCAGGCAGGGCAAGACCCAACACTGCATCGCGTGGCGCGTGGATGCCTACCTCCGACCCCCTCTTTCGCCACCTCCTCTTCGTCCTCGTCCCCCGTCCTCCCTCTCACCCATCCCCCCCGTCGTCCCGTGCGTAGCACATGGTACTGCTTGGTTACGCCTGGAAGATATCGTTACCGCCCAGCCTTACAACTGCCAGCGACATTTCCTCACACCCCTTGCTTAACACTGCCAGCGAAATATCCTCACACCCCCTGGCCTAAAACTGCCAGCTAAACATCATCACCCACTACACTTAAACATACCAGCGAAATATCATCAACAGCCTGACCTAACACTGCCAGCGAAATATCCTCAACCCCCTGACGTGCGAAATATCCTCACCCCCTGGCCTAAGACTGCTAGCAACATATATGCACTCCTTTGCTTAAACCTGTCAGCGAAATATCCCCACCGCCCTGGCTTAACACCGCCAGCGAAATGCCCTCACACCCCTCAGCGAAATATCCTCACCCCCATGGCCTACAGCTGTCATCGAAATATCCTCTCACCCCTCGCTCAAAACTGCCAGAGATATATCCTCACACCCCATCGCTTGAAACTGCCAGCGAAATACCCTCAACCCCCTGACTGAAAACTGCCAGCGAGCTATCATCACCGCCCCTGCCTTAAAACTGATGCGTTCACCCCTAAACCTTCAAACTGCTAGCGATATATCCTCAACCCCCTGGCCTAAAACTGCCAGCGACATATCCCCACCCCATGGCCTAAAACTGCCAGCGAGATATCCTCACACCCTCGTGACTTACAGCTGCCAGCGAAATCTCCTCACCGCCCCTTGCTTGAAAAACTGCCAGCTAAATGCGTTCAGCCCCTAAACTTACAACTGCCAGAGAAATCTCCTCAACCCCCTGGCCTAAAACTGTCAACGAAATATCTTCAGCGCCCCTGGCCTAAAACTGCTACCTAAATATCCCAACTTCTGGCCTAAAACTGCCAGCGAGATATCCTCAACCCCCTGATTTGAAACTGCCAGCGAAATAGATTCACAACCCTCGCTAAAAGCTGTCTGCGAAATATCCTCACCCCCTGGCCTACACCTTGCAGCGAAATATCCTCACACCCCTCGCTTAAAACTGCCAGCGAAATCTCCTCACACCCCCTGCTTATAACTGCCAGCGAGATATCCTCAACCCCCAGACTCAAAACTGCCAACACAATATCCTCACCCCCGGGAATGAAACTGCCATCTAACGGCTTTGGTGATTCAGTTCAACTCTGTCAGTCAAGTCTACTTCCTGGAAATCAAATTACGAGCTGCGCCCGTAAAATAAGTCCCGATCGCGAAAGTGCACGTTCCTGGGCGGGGCGGCCTATCAGGCCCCTGTCGGCGATGAATGGACGACTTGGGGTCGATGCTCCCCCCCCTGAGCCAGCCCCACTCCCACCCCCTGTCATTGGCCCTGACTGCTTGGGGAAGCCTTTGTGCCCTATTTGCTGACAGCAAGCTTTGCCCTCAACAAGGCTTGTCCTGATGAGGGCTGGCATGAAGGAAGCCAGGGGTCCTGGGGAGACGTGTCCTGGATCTCGGGACTTCCCCTATGATACGCTCTTCATCTCAAGTCGAATTTGACGGTCCCGCGGCATGGGGAAGACCCCCGGAGTCCGACCACAACCTCACAACCGAGGGACGTATCGATTTGCTCGATGCGGGATCTCTGGAAGTCCAGGCATTTCCCCCAAGCCTGGTTTCAGGTCCCATGCCAACTATAAACGACCCCAAGGCGCAATGAGGGCCCCCAGAGGCAGAAGACTCCGAACAAACTCCGCACTGATTGTTTCATTACGTTGGAGGTCTTGAGTTCGGGCCAACGACCTCTGTCGCTACACGGTGTCACTTCTACCTGACGATTACAACATCTACTGGTCTAACTATCGATGACTCTCACGATGTTTCTACCGATATCACTATGCACTGGTCTAGATATCGACATACCGATATGGATTTCCATCCGCCCCACCATCTATATACCGATCTCGTTGCCAACGCCTTCATCGATACCACTTTCTGTGCGAAATTCTACTCATGTCAATATCGGCGCATCGCCGTGCCGAAAAATCCTTGACATCCGGGGCATTCGCCCGACTGTTCTCTCTTTCAGACACGAGCTCACCGCGGCGGCAGCCGCGAGAGGAAGGAGGCTTAAGGGGGCGTTGAACCCTCAACCCCCCTAGAAGCCTGCCAAGACAGCCTTCTTGCGTGGTCTGGGCGGGACCCTGCTCGGCCCATGCATTCTGAAAATGTGGGTTTGGTCCAAACAGTCATGACCCCTCTTAGGGGTCGACGTAATGGCACGGTGGGTCCGCGTGGCGTCGGCGCCACGGCGTTCCCGCCGCGGTCGTTCAAAGATGAGTGCAGCCAGGGGCTGCGGCCAGCATGGCACGATCTGGCGATCGGATAGCCATCGATCGTTCCACGCGGTGACGGATACCAACGCTGGGGTCGCCACGACACGAACCTGCAACATTGTCGATTCGCCTGGCGCATGCGGGCCATCTTGGTACCGCGCAGGGGTCGTGGGGCCGCCTTGGCATCGGCTGGGTCCTCTTGGCGACTTGCGCGGGTCCAATCCGATGTTTGTTGCGGCGAAGTATCCACTCACCCGAATACCAATTCATCCATCGGTGAATACATTTTAACTCTATCGGTCTGACTGTAGTCTGTCTGAACATCTACGGATAGACAATGAGCCTTAGCATACCACGATATAATACTTGATATATATATTTATATGATATAAGCTTCTGTCGTTCTCACGATATGTCGATATCACCATAACACTCGATCTCTCCATCTCACTGTAAACAAACCCGTGCACCTGTCTCATTATCGATCAGTCTCACATGGAGAACTACTACGAACCACGGGGCAACCGCGGGACAACCAAGGGAACAAAAAAAACCCAAGACAATCACGCGACAACGCACGGGAAAACAGCCCGACAACCACGGGACAACTGCATGATGACCACTGACAATCGCGAACAAACGCCGGGACAACCACTCGGACAACCGCCTGGACAACTACTGGCACAGCCCGAGGGACAACCATCGGGAGAACCCACGGGACAACCACCGAATGACAACGTGAGGACATGGGCGCGCAGCAGGAACATTCTGACACGAACCACTCCCAAATAAACCAGAATCAGTCCCGCAATCGCGCAAATTCGCCTCGTCTGCATGCGCGTCGCGCGCGACACGGATCGATATCGAAATCGATGTCCTGGTGGGGGGCACACCGATACTTTTCGGCCTCACCCCAGAACCACAAATCTGACTATCCAATCTAATTTGCAGCTAGGTGCACTTCTCTAAGGGCAATGTGTTTGGCCAACTGTAATTGTATATATATATATATAGATGTGTGAATCGGCGAATGCAAATTACTCATCGTACGATTGGCCGTATGTGTGCTTCCCTAACGGTACTTGCACTTGGGGGCTATGACTTCGGATTCTATCGTAGGAGCAGGGGGTTTGCCGAGTTATCGCTGGTTTGCTACTTGGCAGCCCGCGCCGCCTGATGGGCGGGTGCCCCGTGCGCTGGTTGGGTTGCGGGGTTGCCGGGGCAGCGCCACATTGCCCTGGGCATGTTTGCTGGGCTGCGCCACGTTGCCGCCCGTGCGGCCTCGTGGGCGTTAGTGAGCGTCCCTTGCGCTAAACTTGCACGACGTAGCTTCCACCGCATGGCTTGCACGATCTTGCTTGCACTACACAGCTTACAACGCATACATTGCACAACTAAGTTTGCACCACGCAGAACAAACCTCCAGCTCACGCCACCTATATTGCACGACCTACCTTACACAACATAGCTTGCAGCGCCTATCTGGAACCTTTGCACTACATCGCTTGCATCACATAGCCTGCACCGCATAGATGCCACCTCGGCAATGCAATGACACACTTCTGGGGGTCCACAGTGGCTGACACGTATGCACGCGTATACGTTTGCCGCACATCTGTATATCTATATGTCTATATATGTGTGTATATATGTGCAGGTTCGCCAACTTGCACCCTAAACCAGCATCCACCCGTTTCAGATTCCGGAATCACCATTCCACCCGTGGGCGCCATCATCTCCTCATTGCACAACAGATCACGTGCTTCCCGAAACATCCCCCAGAAGGGAAACAAAGCTTCAGCGACTTGCAGAAACGCAATGATATCTGCAGAGGCCTGTCGCTCCGATGGACTATGATGAGCCCGATAAGGCCTTCTGTAAGGATCCCAAAAGACCTTCTGCAAAGTCGCCCTCAGGGTCGGATTGAAGGTGCCCCTGGCCCAAGGTACCCCCAGCTTTTCGCTCCAGTTTGGAGCCTCTGGGGACCCCTGGGCTTCGTGAGGGGTGCCCTGAAGGCCGTGGGGGCCTGCTTGGCAATCCTGGGTCCACCTTGGGCCAGGGGTACTTCTAGCAACATCCGACAGGGGTCTCAAATGGATTCTCCCGCCGGAACCGTTCCAAAGTGTTTCTGGAGCTGGATACTGTGAGTGTCGGGATGTCAGGATCACCCTGGGACCCTTCCACAATAGTTCGGAACCTGAAGCGGGTAAATGTGCCAAACGATGAGTTGTTGCGCTGGAGGTGGACTAGATGCGGAGCACGCTACGTGGTGTAAGTGATACCAAGCGATGCCGTGTGTGCTATGTGGTGCGAGCCACGGTGGTGAAAACGGTGCTTTCAAAGATATGAAGTGCTACATCGGTCGTGCAATATATGTGGCGCGAGCTGGAGGTC